GAATAATCGAATTTACACGTGCATACGTGATTGTACTGGTCCTGCGCGGCGTCACACGTTGCGCAGCTACCCTAATTCGGTAAATTATTATATATTTCGGGTAATCGTATAAGAACAATTTTTACCCGGGTTCAATCCCTATTCGAGGATCATCATAGCTTGGTCAATATTCTCTTACATTTTTAATTATTATTGTGGCAGCTTATGCTGAATTTTGCCGTATTTTATTATAGAATTACAAAAATTTTTGGGGCCTTTTTTGTGGTCTTTTTTTTCATATTTAGGTTATTAATAAAAGATGTTAGGGTTTTGGAATAGTGTTATTAATAAAAGAGTATATGTAGATTTTAGCAGATATTATAGGTTTAAATAGAGACCCCAAGGCCGCCATAATTATAATTACTGTATTATTATTGATGTTGAAAACATAAACCTTTTTACCACCCGCTTACAATTCGAGTCTTTTCGATTGTTTCATCTCATTTCACCGAAATTACAGAATTATTTCATCAATTTTTAATTCTAACCCACACTACTTTAAATTAGGTTAATCGTAATTATAAAATTGGGTCAATTTGGATCCATTGTTTCACAACAGCTATCTTTGCCAATATTATACAATGATTTATGTATGCTTGCATTTACACAATGTCACACGTTAAATTAAGGAGCTACGGTATAAACTACAATAATCTAGTCTAAGCATGCCTGTAGATGCAAATTTATCAATTGAAATATCTAAAAATTGAAATTTTCACGCACTCATTTGGTTCATATAATCATTTGTTGACAAATATATTCTCAGGATACTGATCAGGATACTTTATTTAGATAATCAAAATGTCATATACAGTAAGTTCTGTTAACTTATCCTTTAGCATGATAATCCCAAATTAAAATTATACAAAATAAGTATCAAATATGATATAGAGGACCCTTACTCAAAATTAATTGATTATAAAAATAATGAGTATAATCAAAATATATAAATAACGTAATAATTCACAGGAACAATCGGACTCTACAAACATATTTTATTCTCGTAGGTGTAAGAAAAAAATATATATTAACTAGTTACGTTTTTAAAGCTTAATTATTAAGAAATGTCTTCACCTAAAATTAATTACAAAAACTTTTAGGTAGAAAATAACCATTTGTTATTATATATAGCTATCTATTTCCAGCATTGTTAATTTAAATTTACTATTCTTTTAAATCGAAAACAATCTAATTTATTATTACGTAATAATTACTATTTCATTATTATAAATTTAAACAGCAATGAAAAACATTTACTTTAAAATCATTTCATTATTATTTATTTTTACATTACGAAAATATCCAATAACTTACGCTCAAGAAGACCCATTGGCAAGATTATGGAACACGCAAAATGGTCTAATAAATCATTTCATAAATATTGAGCGCCGATTAATAGAAGCGGATGATATCGTAAAAGATGTCATTGACGATCCTGATTTGGAGGAAGCTTTTGCGGGAACTTATATAAGGGTAACTGGTCATAATGATAGAGTAGCCGTTTACACTGTAGACTTCCATCAGGTCCCAAATGTATTCAATGATCCTAGGATAATTCCCATTCACAATTTAATAGCGTTTGTACCAACTGTAAATCACCTTTCTCTACCTGGATTACAAGATAGACAGAGATCATTAAGAAGAATAGCCGATGAACATAATCCAATGTTTGTTACTATTTTCATTGATGTAAGACTTAATAATAATGTTGTAGCTTTATATCATGAATATGAAAATCAGAATAGAGAATTTATACAAGCTATAGTAGAAGAACCCGAACTACAACATCCCCTTCCAATTTTTGAACGTAAGAATTTACCTAATAATGGCAATAATGGTAATAATGGTAATAATGGTAATAATGATAATAATGGACAAAATAATCTAAACGTTATAAAACGCCAACCTTTAATAGCAATCCCTGCATTAGCTGGTGATGGTTTTACTAACTTAGCTGAAGATGTAACGTGCTCATTGGGCTTTTGGGCAAAAAGAGAGGAAACAGAGGAGAATGTTTTTGTATCTTCAGGACGCTGTTATCGATTTGATCATGATTATTATCTTAAACCGTGGGCTTTACAAAATTTACCTTTACCAGATGTACGTAATCATATTGGACAAATGGATAGAAGAAGAGGTCATAATGATATCGATTTCAGTATCCTCAGAGTAGTAGGTGATGTCGAGCCAACTGCGTTTGTAAAGAATGTTGATTCTCCTGATTTTACAGAGCTCCGTATAGTCGATAATAATGATTTAGAACATGATGCTGTTGAAACCAATAACCTTGGTGTTCATTTATGTAAATCTGGCTACCATACACGTGTTACTTGTGGTTTTCTAAGAGCACATAGTGCCCTCTTTTTTGATGGAATTGATCCTTATAGAGTTAAATATGTTATAGACATGGATAGTAATATTGGAGATCTTGGAGGACCTGTATATCATCACTATGAACGTGCTCGTGTGAGTGTATATGGTATAATCAGTGGTAATATAGGAGATATCACGTTATCGACAGATGTAGATTTAATTCTTGAACAGGCCCATGTGCAATTTGTTAATTACCTTGGAGAAGTTGTTTAGATTTTATTTTGTATTATCCTCATGTTCTGAAGACGAAACTGAACTTTCAATGAATTTTGGAAAACAAAACCCGAAACAGAAACAGAAAATTTAAAATATGAAATTGGTTTACTTAGAACCCGAAGTTTTTTGACAAGACATTTTTTAAATTCTTTGATCCAATTTACATATAAAAAACTTTCTTTGCTTTTGTTTATTCACTTAAAAAAAATTTAGTTATTCTAACTAAGACGCAATAGGCCTTGCTTTGAAAATTAATTTCAGGAATATATATAGGTTAGATATTAAAATTAAATCGGCATTGTTAAATCACACAAGTGGTGTTTAGCACCACAGCTGTTATGCCTCAAAAACTATATAAATAATCAAGAACCAGAAGTATTAAGTAAAAATGTTTAGTATCCCAAAAAACCTTACCCAACTTTAATTTTAGCTTTTTTTTTTTTTGAATTTGCCTTAATATATAAGATGCGTTTTATTTTTAGCTTTGATTTTTAGTCTATAGCTTCTAATTTTATTCTTATTTTTAACCCTAACCTTAAGTATTGACAATAAAATTATAATAAAAAATTATATAGTGTTCAGCACACCTGGTGCGATTTTAATAATTGAAAAAAAACAGCCGAACCCTATTTTTTAATAGTGATTGAGAACTGCATAAAGTTTTATTTAATTTAACTGTTTGACAATATTGACAATATTAACCTTTAATTCAGACTAAGAATGGGCTAAATTGATTACATATGACTATTTAATATTTTTGAATTTTTTGTAGATAGGCAATAATAAAGACTTTTACCAGGAACGTAGTACGAAGTACGAAGTGTATGGTTTATAGGCAAGTTGCTGTGTTCGAAATCTCGAATTCTATTGGACAGCGTGATCATTGTATGTGCATCCTTTTTTGGTTATGCCTTTACCTGCTTTGACCAAGAACTGCGATCACGTTAAATAATTATTCAAATTTGGTTAGATTGAATATTTATTCTTGATCTCATATTCAGTTTAACATCGAATACTGTACCTTGAAAATTTGTCACGTGGAAATTATTTGGTAAGGAAATACAAGTTAAAAACTTGTATCAATTTGGAACGACGTATTGCTCAAATTGAACGTAAAGGTTGCTGATCTGAGAAATCAGAACAATTATGAAAAAAGTACGTTTGTATTGCAAGATCATATTGGGTTCTATATTGAATCTAGGGCTGTAAATCGATTCTATAATAATCGTTTTAATCGTTAATCGAATTAGAATCGATTCTGATTCCTGGACAAA